ACCCAGACGAGTGGGCCAAGGAGAACCTCTCGGCGCCGCCGCCGCCGCCCACCGCCGGGGAGGGCGGGGGCGGCGGGCCAGGAGGAGGCGTGGGAGGAGGTGGTGGAGGCGACCTTGGCGGCGGAGCGGCCGCGCCGGGCGGGCCTGCGCCGGGCGGGGCGCCGCAGACACCGCTCGCGGGTGGTGCCGCCGTGCCGACCGGCTCTGCGCGCTTCTCGGCGCGGAGCTCGAACCGGCGCGCGGCGCGCTCGCGCTACGTCGACACCTTCAACGCGGGGGGCGCGGCGCCAGAGCCGTCCGATAGCGATCGCATGCCGCCGCCGCCGGCGCGGCCGGCCTTCAAGGTCTTCACGCCGAGTGCGGCGGCGGCGGCGGCGGCGGCGGCGGCGACGCGCCCAAGTATTTCACGCCGACGATGGCGCCGTCGGGCGGGGCGCCGGAGCAGCCAGCCGAGCAGTGAGCCGAGTGGGCGCGGAGCGGCCGAGGGCGTGTCTCGGGTCGCCGGTCGCCGGGGTGGGGTCGCCGCGCGGAGTGATTGGCTCCTCGCAGGACCTTCGTGGGTAGTGGGGTAGGAGGCGCGGGGCCGAGACGATGTGGCGCACTAGCGTGTTTCTTTCTTTGCTGCTAATGCTTCCCTATATCGGGGAGGGCGGCCCCACTAGCCTCCCCGCAGGCTGCGCGGCCACACACTCACGGAGCGCGGAGGAGGGCGGAGGACTGGCTCGTCGCTCGCGTGGCTCTCACAGTCACACTGACTCTTGTGTGAGTTTTTTGAAGAAATTTCTTCTCCAGCCTTCTGTCTAGTAAACATGAGGTGCTGCAATGAACATCCCCCCAAGAGCACTGCGGCCATCCCAATGGCCACGCACCAATGGGCCGCGCGCTCGTTGCCCCTCATTTCACATTTGGTGGGGCACGCGCCGGTGAGCGGCGTTCGCACACCACTACGCGCTGGGCGCGGGTAGTTTGCACACGCACAGGTTCTCCGCCATGCAGCTCGTATACGAGCCCAGGTTCTCAATCTTGCAGTACGAGCCCTCGCCGAAGGCCAGCTTGCACTCGCTGTCGGTGCGGCAGCTGCCGCTCGACGAGTCTCCGGCCAGCTGGTACTCGCCGATGCCGGCGTCAGGCATCGCCGGCCCGCCGAGAGCATCCACCTCAAACTTCTGCGACGCGCTGAGGATGGGCTGGCCCTGGTACTTGGGTCGCCCCCCCTTGGGGATGTGAGAGTAGCCCATTGGACATGTGGCCTGGCCGATGGAGTCGCCGTGCTCGGTCTGGGTCACCCCGTTGTTGAGGATGAGGCGGAACTGATTGGCGTACTGGTAGACCGCCTGGCGGACGCGATTGACGTAGCCGAGCGGCATGTGCTCCGCGATGGTGCGGTACGGCTGGAAGACGGTATTGTCGCAAAAGGTGTTGTAGTCGGGCACGGCCTGGAGCGGAAAGCTCAGCTCGAACACGTTGATCGACTCGGTGGGCCAGCGCTTCGTGGGGTTTTCGATGTCATCCCTGCACGCGTCATCCTGCAGCTGGATGTAGCCGCACATCTTGAACTCCTTTGCGCCCTTCGCCTCGAGCTTCTCGATCGTCTCGCGCAGGTTGGTGAGCTGGTAGTTGGGGTCCTCCCACGCGGCCGGGATCCTCCCCCTCGCGATATCAACCTTGGGATCCGGGTAAACGTTCTGCTTCTTCTCCGTCAGCTCGCCCGGGCAGGCCGCCCAATGCAGCTTCATGGCGCCGGGGCCGAGCCGCAGGGCCGACGCCGAGCCGTAGACGTACTCGAGCGGGTTCTGGTAGGTGTCGGTCAGCTCGTCGAGGCGTGGGTCGGGGCGGGCGCCCAGCACGAAGCCCTTGTAGTAGTTGTCGACGTTGGCCGCGACGAAGATGTTTGCGGGCGGGTTCTTGGCGGATTCACAAGAAGCGGCGGTGCAATCAGGCCCGGCGGTGCTGAACGCACCGATGTGCTCTGTGGCCACTGAGTTCTTGCCGGTGCCGATTGCGACGTGTAGCAGGTCGATGTGCCCCTCCTCTTGCGCCGCGGTAAAGTCGAAGTCCCCAAACACGTGCTGCGCGTCCTTCGGCTGGTTGTACGCCGGGATGTCGGCGAGCTTGAGCTGGCAGTTGGACGCCTTTCCCTTGGCGCAGGCGGCGTCGTCGCTCTCAAAGTGCTTTGCCGCGTCCATCAACTTGAGCGCAAACCCGCGCACGCGCACGTCGTGCACGTCCTTGACGGTAAAATTCTTGTTGCCGCTCAGCCGTACGAGAGTGTCGAAGGTCGCGCCCGATTTGGCCAGCTTTGGGTCGAGCAGGCCGACACGCATGGCGTAGGGGATGAAGCCCGACTCGCCCTCCTGCTTGTTTTGTTCATACAGCTCCCTGAGCGGACCGAAGGAGAATTTTGCGCCGAGGCAGGTCTGGCCCTTGCCGTGCATGCCCTTCATCACGCGGCTCGTGCGCTGACCTTGGTAGGACGAAAGCTGCGGCTGCATTGCCGCCGGGACCTGGTACTCGTAGGTCAGCGGCGGTGTCAGCGCAGCGCCCGGCTGGAGCGTCTTGGTGCGCGGGTTCGCGATGCTGTTGCTGCTCACGTTCGCGCACGGTCTGCAGTCGGAGTGATCCTCACTAACTTCGCAGCAGTTGAGGATACCGTTGTCCGCACGAAAGGTCGCCGGCTTGAGCATGCGCATCGCCATTGTCTTTGCGGTGATCTCAATGGTTGCAAGCTCGCCTGCGACGCCAAAGCCCATCTCCCGGCCGAGGTGCTTGGAGCACTGTGCATTCGGGAAGCTGACGCCCTTGGAGTTTGTTGCCGTTTCGGTGC